TGACTAGCAACGGCTTTTTCAAGAACTTTGGAAATAAAGGGCAGATTAGAGATTGGACGAAGATTACTGAAGTTGGTAAAGTCAAGACCTGGTTTCTTGATGATGGGGGTGATGGCCGCAGATTTGAAAGCTGTGGGAACAATGCCAGAGGTTAGGGAGGAGTGGATGATGTTAGTGATAATGGGGAGCAGAGAAGGAGACAGACCGGGTTTTCAGAGGAGCGACAGAGTTAAGGATGTTGGTGAGGCTGTTATTGTAAAATGTAACAAGGTCATATGGGTTAAAAGAATTGAAGGTGAAGATGGTATTATTAATATGAGACAAAAGAATGTCATGGTTGATATTCTTAATATTACGGAAGGAAAGAGTGCGTTGAGGTTTCTCTGAAGAAAATTTAAGATTGACACTGAATGAAATCATGAGGTGATCAGTAAATGGAAGTTCATCAGAAGAACAATTAAGAGGAGAGAGTCCAGAGCAGCATAATTAGTCCAAAGTGTGGCCCTTTATGTGGGTTGGAAAGTTAATGAACTGCTGGAAGCCACAGCTGTCGAGGCAGAATGTGAAGTCTCTGGTGAGGGGGTTGTTGTCTTCATCCATATGAATGTTGAAGTCTCCAAGCAGAATAATGTTGGGTGAAAGAGCTGAGAGATGGGCGATTAGAGCAGCAAAGTCATTTATAAAAGAGTTGTTGATTTTGGGTGGACGGTAGAAAGTGGCAATAATGGTGGGAGAGTAGACACACAGTGTGCTCAAAGGAGGGAGAGGGAGGTGTGTGAACCGGCGTGACCTTCCAGTTCTCGCGGTGAATTATCGCGAGACCTCCTCCGTGGCCGGACTCGCGGGATTTGGCGATGTAAACAAACCCCGGTGGGGTAGATTCATTCAGGTGGAAAAAGTCATTTTGTTGTTGCCACATTTCTGTTAGGGGAGTGGTGGCGCAGAGGTTAGAGAGGTGGGCCTGTGTTCCTAAGATCGCCGGTTCACGCCCCAGCCCCAACAACATCAAAATTGTGGGTGGGGTAGGTGAAACACCCACACTTGCCCCCACCCTCATTCGCCCCACTCTGGGCCCATGAGCAAAGCCCTTAACCCCCACCATGTGCTCCCTAAAAGGTCTCTCTTGAAAATGAGTTCTCATGGCTCAGTGAGACTACCTGTATAAATAAAGGCTAAATAAAAATAAATAAAAATAGACAAATAAAATCCAGCTTACGGTCGAATATTAGGTCTTGAATAAGCTGATGTTGTTGTTGTTTAAAGTTGATGTCCTCATCCTTAGCACAAAGTCCAGCTGGTGCTGGTTGTTTCCATCAGGATTTCAAAGCTCAGATGTGTGGAGACGTGTCTGGTTTGGTGCTGGCTCTGCTTTGTGCAGATGATGTGGTTCATCTTCAGCATGTGCTGGGGTGGTCAGAGGTGGACTGCTCCCTCCAGGCTGTGGGTGAATTGCTGCTTTAAATGGATGAGTTCAAATATTTATATTTAGTTATGTAATTTGTATTTAAATAAACTAAAACTCTAATGAAAAGACAAAAAATACAAAAGGGATCAGTAATTGTAATATTATAGACCATTAAAAGTAGCACATTCTATGACACAACCTGAATAAACCAATCCACAGTTTTAACAACAAACTAAGAAATGTCTGACCAAACTATGCAGTCATCAGTGTTGTTGAGAGAACATGTGGTGTCAGACAGATGTTGTAAGGTGGAAGCAGGACAGAAACCAACCTGCCACGTATTTTTCAGGTGAGTCCATCATGGCGCTGGTGGCTGAGTTTCTGGGTCAGCTGACGCTCTCGTACGGCGGGGTGAGTTAAACATTTAGATGTATAATTTATGTTTTTCTTCCTCTGTTTCTTTTTCCATGTTCCTGTATAGCGCTCTCACATGACTTCTGTAAACTGGCACTATTAGACCATGGGACAAATCCTGTACTGGGCTCAGTTTTTGAGTTTGTGGCAACTCATGTGGGCAAGAAAACTTCACTTGATTTAGGTGCAGGACGGTGTTAGACGTCTAGGATAAATCCCATGAAATATCTTCTTCTTAATTAGCAATTAATCTATTAATTATCAGTAAGTTCAATGTACAAAACTTAAATATATAACATGAAAAAATGCAAGATATGTCCACACATTTTATATACTTTGAATACATAAATTAATTGCTCTTCATCATGTATGCACAGGCATTACTCACTGTGGGTTCACTACTGACTCCAGCATGACTTGTTCATTTGGCTCTTTCTCTTTTGGTTTTATTAGGTCCAACATGGAGGTAGACCTCCAGAAAAGCTCATGGCCACATAGATTTTAAGGTTTCTATGAACTGAGATATTTGACCGTATATGGTCTGATGCTGAATAAAATAAAATAAAAAAGAAATCTCATTCCACAAAAGGGGACGTTCAGCCTTATATTTGTAAAACAAATCCAGATGATGTTCACCGGTCAGTCTACGTTCTTACTTTCACCTATGATCATGAACTCTGGGTAGTGACTGAAAGAATGAGATCATGGATACAGACGGTTGAAATGTTTCCTCTGCAGGGTAGCTGGTCTCTAACTTAAAGAGTCAGTTCAATTCAATAGGGTAGTGTGATGGATGGATGGATGGATGGATGGATGGATGGATGGATGGATGGATGAAAAGATGGATAGAGAAAGAGATAGATGGATGGATGGATGGATGGAGGGAGAAGTTCAGTTATCCAGGAGAGACTCAGAGTAGAACTGCTGCTCCTTCACATCGAAAGGAGCCAGTTGAGGTGGTTCAGGCATCTGGCAAGGATACTTACTGGTCGCCTCCCTTGAGAGGTGCTTTGGCCATGTCCGACTGGGAGGAGACCTCGGGGAAGACCCAGGACATGCTGGAGAGACTACATCTTTGGTTTGGGCTTGGAACGCCTTGGAGTCCTCCCAGAAGAGGTGGCTGTGGAAAGAGATGTCTGGACCTCCCTGTTCAAACTGCTGAACCTGACTTCAGAACTAGCGGAAGAGAATGGATGGATGGATGGATGGATGGATGATGGATGGATGGAAATCCGATGAATTCTGAATCCCATTTTAATTATGATGAGAGTATATTGGGAAATTAATTTCTGTGAGTGGGGGTGGGGACTGTCACGAATTGGGGTGGATCGGACAAGCACAGACTCAGAAAAAGGTTTAAAAAGTTTATTTTTAAAAACCGGTGGCGTCTGGCAGGCGGTTCTGGTTCAGGTACTGGTATCGGACCGCTCTGGGGGAGACAGAC